CACTGAGGTGTTGTCAAAGCGGCTGTCCGTACAAAGCAGCCACAGCTGCCCTGGGCTCAGAGCGGAGGATGTGCCGTTGGAGTATGTAATACAAACAACAGAAAGTTCCCGCGGTCATTTGCCCGATCGGGCAACTTGTTAACACAGCGCACTTGCCCGTCCCAAATCTTTACTTGCCCCGGGCAAGCAGAAAACCGTTAATGTCGAGCCCTGAGGTACATCTTCCAGCTCGCCTCATCTCGGCAGAGCTGCTCCTGCTGCAGTGTTTCCAGTGAAAGTGTCTTTTTCTCACTCAAAAAATATTCATACCTTTCTGGAGAATCCATCGATGCCACCGAAAATGACCATGTTATATCTAAACAAATAAAGAAAAAGTTTAATATTCAATACCAAATGTTGATTTTAATCAAAGCTTTTATTTTACCTTATAAGTTTGTGATTTATGTCAATATGCACTAGACTCTCAGGGCAGGGAACAGAATAAGAACGTCTAACATCACAGCCGTAGGTCAGGACAAGGTCCAAGGTGTGGTTATGAATGTGAGTAGGTTCCTCGACATTCTGAGTAAAACCAACACCATCTAGTACGGCGCTGAAAGCTTTGTTTAAGCTGTCAGTGCTGTCGTCCACATGTATATTGAAGTCTCCAGCTATAACTATGTTTTCCCATTCCAAAACTAGGTTTGAAATGAAGTCAGAGAATTCTGTTAGGAACTCGCTGTAAGGACCAGGAGGTCGGTATAAAACTATAAATAGTACTGCTTTTTGTTTTCTCCACCCAGGACAGGTGATTGAAAGTGTTAAGTTTTCAAACGAGTGAAAAGCGTTGTTGGTTTTGGGACTAAGAACCAAGTTGGTGTGTGATATAATCGCAACACCACCGCCGCGACCTGTAGCTCTGGCTTTCTGGTAGTTAACATGCGTCGGAGGAGTGCACTCATTCAATCTAACGTACTCGTCCTGTTGGAGCCAAGTCTCCGAGAGCGCTAACAGATCCAAGCCCTTGTCTATAATAAGTTCGTTTATGAGAAGCGATTTAGACGAGATTGATCTGACGTTCATTAAACCACATTTAACAACCCTACTGTGCATCTTAGAGAAGACAGTCTCTCCAGAACTCCGAGAGTATCCACTCTGTGAAGAGAGGCTCGGACACGTTCCCACTGGACAAGATGGCCCCTAGACTTAAGAGCACCTTTCATCATTCTGTACCCGCTGTCTGGCATTGTCTTTTTTATATCTGCCACCATGCTATCCAACTTGCTGTCTGTCATGTCGCTGTATAAGGCAGTAACAGAAATATTATTTTCTGTCATTCTACGATGGATTGTAGATCTTGAGACACCCAACAGCTGAGCAATGTCCTTCACAGATAATGGGATATCTAACAAGTATTTCAAATATTCAGGATCAATTTCCAATTTTGGGCGACCTTTACCACCATCTTGAGATTGACACTGGAATTCATAGGGCTGATCATCATCCCTTACTTCCCGTACCAGTATACCAGTAAAAATAACAAGTTCCTGCGTACAAATGAAATCTAGGCAGTCAAAATCGAGCAGACTGTGGTCCAAAACATTCTGAAGCCTATTGAAAAGCCTCTCAAGGATGTAGTTTTGAGCATTCTGCAAAAGGAAAAGCACAAAAGGGAAATTAGCTTACATTGTACATAATATTTTTACCATTGATGCTGCCGACTCATTCAGTGTTATTTATTATACATATATTTTTTTCTATGCCAATTCATGCAAGTCTTACGTGTATTTTCTTAAAATAGTCATGCTCACAAGTGCCACCTGGTGGTTGTTTTGGTCATTGCAAACGTCACTGGGAGGGGGGGAAATAAAAGACGCGTGAATCACACGAGACTCACGTGTGATTCACGCGTGAAAGGCGACAAAACGGAATGGGACCTACTGTATGACGGACGCGTGACGGACGCATGACGGACGTGTGACAGACGTGTGACGGACGTGTGACGGTTGTATGACAGACAGACGTGTGACGCACGTATGACGCACGTATGACGGACGTATGACGGACGTATCACGGACATGTGACAGACGTGTGACAGACGTGTGATAGACGTGTGACAGACGTGTGACGGACGTGTGACAGACGTGTGACGGACGTATGATGGACGTGTGACGGACGCTAACGGACGCATGACAGACGCATAACGGACGCATGACGGACACGTGACGGACGTGTGACGGTCGTGTGACGGCATATGATGTTTGTGTGACGGACGTGTGACGGATGTGTGACGGACGGATGTATGAGAGACGTGTGACAGACGTGTGACGGACGTGTGACGGACGTGTGACGGACGTATGACGGACGTGTGACGGACGTGTGACGGACGTGTGACGGACGTGTGACAGACGGACGTATGACCGACGTGTGACAGACGTGTGACAGACGTGTGACAGACGTGTGATAGACGTGTGACAGACGTGTGACGGACGTGTGACAGACGTGTGACGGACGTATGATGGACGTGTGACGGACGCTAACGGACGCATGACAGACGCATAACGGACGCATGACAGACACGTGACGGACGTGTGACGGTTGTGTGACGGCATATGATGTTTGTGTGAAGGACGTGTGACGGATGTGTGACGGACGGATGTATGAGAGACGTGTGACAGACGTGTGACGGACGTGTGACGGACGTATGACGGACGTGTGACGGACGTGTGACGGACGTGTGACGGACGTGTGACGGACGGACGTATGACCGACGTGTGACAGACGTGTGATAGACGTGTGACAGACGTGTAACGGACGTGTGACGGACGTGTGACGGACGTATGACGGACGTGTGACGGACGTGTGACGGACGGACGTATGACCGACGTGTGACAGACGTGTGATAGACGTGTGACAGACGTGTAACGGACGTGTGACGGACGTGTGACGGACGTATGACGGACGTGTGACGGACGTGTGACGGACGGACGTATGACCGACGTGTGACGGACGTGTGACGGACGTGTGACGGACGGACGTATGACCGACGTGTGACAGACGTGTGATAGACGTGTGACAGACGTGTAACGGACGTGTGACGGATGTGTGACGGACGTATGACGGACGTGTGACGGACGTATGACGGACGTATGACGGACGTGTGACGGACAGCGCAGAAAAACTTCTCCAGTCAAAATACATGGAAACGAAATTTTTGTCACGGCCCTTGGCTCTAGATCAAACACACACACAAAGACATACACACACACACACACACAAAGACACACACACACAGCACTTGTATCTAAACATTAGCAGGAAGAGCAGCAGGTTTTACAGTGAGTCTGGACATTGCTTTTGTTCATTCATAAAGTCTGGCGTCTGGCCAAACCAGCGCAGAGAGACTATGAAGACAAACACATGTGATTAGTGTTGCTCTACATCAGTCCTCTGTACTGTCCTCTTCTCCATAGACGACACAGGGACAGCATCAGAAGTACCTGTGCTCACGCCCAGTGGACATACAGCCGAGTAATGTTACGCGCCCGTGCGCACAGTCAACGCTCCTCATCCTCCTGGTTCAATCCTCCTGTCTCAGTCTCTCCTGGTTCTGTCCTCCTCTCTTAGTCTCCCCTGGTTTTGTCCTAATGTCCCAGCCTGGTGTCCTCCTGCCTGTAGAGACTGCAGAGACGGCCCTGAACCTGTAGATCTTTTCAGGTAGCTCTCTGAAATTTCTGTCTGATAAAAGTAGACATTTCTGTGTGTGCGTGTGTGTGTGTGTGTGTCTGTGGGTCTTTGTGTGTGTGTGTGTTTGTGTGTGTGTGTGTGTGTGTGTGTGTCTGTGTGTGCACACAATGCCACTGCAGAACGCTCCATTGACTGTAGCAGTGAGCAGCTGTTGCCAGGTAACCACATGTGAGTCAGAGTCTGATCCACATCAACCATCTATCACCACGTGTGTGTGTGTGTGTGTGTGTGTGTGTGTGTGTGTGTGTGTGTGTGTGTGTGTGTGTGCATGTGCGTGTATGTATGCACATGTATGTGTGTGTATATTTGTTTATGTGACTGTATCTTTATGTGTGTTTTTGTTTTTATCACCTTGTGAGGACCAGCACCTGACAGCCCACTCACGGTGTGGGGACCAAAGACCCGGTCCCCACTAAGTATACTTTGTTGTTGATAACTACAGACACTAACCAACGTCTTGGCAGAGGTTCAGTCTGGGCCCTAGAACTAATACAAACAACTAGAAGTGTGTAAGTGTGTATAACTGACTTTACTCAGAAAGCGGTACTGCACAAACACCGAGTTACACACCAGACAGGGTGTATGCATGGGTCTGAAAGGAACTAAAAACTAGACAGTGTGTATGAGCGGTTCTGAAAGGAACTAAAAACTAGAAAGTGTGTATGAGCGGGTCTGAAAGGAACTAAAAACTAGACAGTGTGTATGAGCGGGTTTGAAAGGAACTAAAAACTAGACAGTGTGTATGAGTGGGTTTGAAAGGACCTAAACACTAGACAGAGTGCATGAGCAGATCTAAAAGCAACTAAATAATAATGCATCGGTTTTATATCTGTTTTTTGAACACTCAAAGATGTTTCACATGTCATTAGTCATTCACTCCAAGCAGGGTGGTGATGAACTACTACTGAAGCCACAGCTGCCCTGGGGCACACTGACAGAAGCAAGGCAATCAGTCTGTGTGTGCCATCAGCCCCTCCCATCACCACCAACCAAACTAGAGAGTGCATGAGTGTGTCTAAAAGGAGCTTAAAACAAGTTTTGTGTGTGTGTGTCTGTGTCCGTGTGTGTGTGTGTGTGTGTGTGTGTGTTTGTGTCTGTGTGTGTGTGTTTGTGTCCACGTGTGTGTGTGTGTGCGTGCGTGCGTGCGTGTGTGTGTGAGTGTGTGTGTGTGTGTCTGTGTGTGTGTGTCCATAAACAAATGGCTGGACAGTGCGTGGTCAGCTGCTCACTATATCAGAGCCATTTATCAGGATCTGTATCAGCGGACGGGACGCATGCCAGCTGTGCCCAGGAGGAGGAGGAGGAGGATGAGGAGGATGAGGAGAAGGAGGACAAGGAGGAGGAGCAGGAGGAGAGGGAGGGGGAGGGAGGAGGAGGAGAAGGAGGAGGACAAGGAGGAGGAGAAGGAGGAGAAGGGGAAAGAGGAGGAGAGGGAGGAAGAGAGGGAGGAGAAGGAGGAGAAGGGGAAAGAGGAGGAGAGGGAGGAAGAGAGGGAGGAGAAGGAGGAGGGGGGGAGGGGAGGTCTGTAGTTGCTCCTGCTGCAGCTTTGTCTCTAGACTTTTCCTTGCGTTTGTTCAGTTCAAGTTTTATAAATGTGGCCTGACGTCTGTAAAGAGCAAGAACCTATCTCATCCTGAGATCCAGCCTCAGTCCTGGGTCTACGGCCTCAGTCCTGGGTCTACGGCCTCAGTCCTGGGTCTACGACCTCAGTCCTGGGTCTACGGCCTCAGTCCTGGGTCTACAGGATTAAATCTGTGATAAATGTAATCTGTAATAAACTACCTCAATAAAAAACACCTGAGGACCTGTGTGTGTGTGTGTGTGTGTCCACCTGAGGACCCGTGTGTGTGTCCACCTGAGGAATTGTGTGTGTGTCCACCTGAGAACTTGTGTGTGTGTCCACCTGAGGACTCGTGTGTGTGTGTTGTGATGGCAAGCGACTAGTATTCATATCTCCCTGCTCCAGGAAGGAGCAACTCTGCCTGGTTCTATTCATATGTCCCTGCTTCAGGAAGGAACCGGGTCCCCCGACACCTACAGACAATGGCGTAAATCACTGTCTCACTCTCGCCCCCCTTTCGCCTCTTGCATATCTATCGGTCTGTATGTGTGCATTTTCTACATCCTGCTTCTCGTCACACCCTTGTGTCTTTCGCGTCTGCATCTGTATGACCTGCATTTTCTACCATTGTCTGTCTGTTCGCACCTACATCCCCAGGCGCCTCCTCACCGGTGGCCCCCCTCCCATTCTGTTGTGGGCGGGACTGTCTTTCGTGTGTGTCTGTATACAGGAAACTCGGAGCTCTGCTTCAGAGCTGAGCATGCTGCCTTTGTGTGCATATGCTGACTCTCCGCACTGTGCGTGAACAATAAACTTACGCTTTTGACCAGACAAAGGACCTTTGAGTTTCCTCCTTCATGGGGTATATAATTCTATAACAATTTGGCGTTGCTGACATGTCTTGGCATGGATACTTTCGGCGGGAACGAGCGGCTTTGTTTGGCCGACCTGGATCACCAGCCTCTGTTCCTTTTTGGAGACAAAGGAGGGCGCGCTCGTCCCGCGCACGGAAGGAATCCTTTTGCCACACAAGACCAAAAAGAACCTAATCTGGTGAGTCTTGTCTTTTCATCTGCGTAACGAGCCCAGGGCAGCACTTAAGTGTACACGGGGATTTGTTTATTTATGTATTTTTGGGGTATTTCATTCATTGCCACAGCATAGTCTGTGTGCGGGATTTTTTGGGGGGCTTTTTGTTCTAGATTGAAACTAGCGGACAATGAAACTAGTTAAACCAATTCTTAATTCCACACAGGTTGAACGTCTGCTGAAAGCTGTAATGTTGCCCTTAGAGATCGCTGTATGCAAATGCCAGGCCCACACTAATGCCACTGATCCCATCTCTGCAGGGAATCGGCGCGCGGACAAGGCAGCGGCATACGCACCTCTACACACACACACACACACTACCTCACTCAAGACGTTGATATTTTCTACTCCAGCAGAGACGCTGCTGTGAGAGGGGAATGGGGCTCAACGACGGCATGGTGTGTGTGGCTGGGACCAGACAGCAAACCGTGCCTATCACGGCATTTCTTCAGACAGTTTGCAATTTTAGCACATGGTCGGGACCATGCCTCAAAAGGAGGGATGATGTGTGATTTAATCACACAAAATTGGTATACAAAGGGGTTTACGGCATTTGCACAGAGATTCAGCCAAACATGCGCTATATGCCCCGCGCACAACCCAGGTAAGTCCCAAAAGTATCCAACAGGCTGCTCATCCTCCGCCCCTGCGCCCATTTCAACATGTCCAAAGGGACTTTGTTGAACTCACACCATGCCAAGGTAAGTAATACTGTCTGGTTCTTGTCGATCTCTGGTCCAAATGGACTGAAGTATTTGCATGTAAACACGCCACGAGCAATGCGGTGGTGAAAGCTCTGCTCACAGAAATTGTACCACGATGGGGTGTCCCGGAAAAAATCTCTAGTGACAATGGCAGTCACTTTGTAGCAAAAGTCATTGAGGAAGTAGGTGAATTTCTGGGCATTGATATACGTAAACATTGCAGTTACGCCCCCTGGAGCGGAGGCGCGTGCGAGCGAGAGAATGGCACTCTGAAAAACAAACTTGCTAAAATCTGCGAACAGACAGACCTGTCTTGGATCAAAGCTCTGCCGCTAGCCCTCATGTACATGCGCATGAGAGTCAGGTCAAGGTCAAACCTAAGCCCATTCGAAATCCTCTTCGCCAGACCACCCAACTTGGGCGCGGGACCCCCGACCAGAGATCTGCCAAGCACCTCTTTGTGTGATGACGACATGCTGTCCTATTGTAAGGAAATTAATGCACTTTTGTCCTCTATTTCTGCCCAGGTCAGGAGCGCCCTGCCACAGGCTGCGCAGGCGGCTCTGCACAGGATCAAGCCAGGCGACTGGGTCCTGGTGAAGGAAACGAGACGAAAGCATTGGCGGTCCAAGCGCTGGCTCGGCCCATTCCTCGTCCTCCTGGTGACGGACACTGCCGTTAAGGTCGCGGAGAGGACAACGTGGATCCACGCCATGACCACTAACGCTCCACACACGCTCATAGGGAGCGGTGCCACTGACTGCAAGGCGGCACTGTTCGACCGGCTGGTCCTGGACCACCTGACCGCGTCTGTGGGAGGCGTATGCACGATCATTGGGTCGTCCTGCTGTACATATATTCCGGCCAACGATGAGGACGGAGGTCTTATCCAACAGGGCATAGCCAATCTGACTAGACTCCGGGACGCCATGCAAGCGGACAATGTCACGGACACTCCTCACGGTCTGGACTGGCTCCTGTCCTCCTGGCGAAGTGTGCTCATTAATCTTGGTTTAGCCCTATTGACTGTTATGATTTTATTTTCATGTGTATTACCCATGGTGTTTCGGGCCGTTGGTAAAATGATATCCACCCACTTTGTGTCCATTCAACACAGAGACCCTGAGGCGGACCTGGCCGCGGTCCCACTGAACTCCGATCCTGATTATATCAGCGATTCGGACGACGACTTTGTCTAACGTTTTTCTTTCTTGTTTACTTTGTTTTTATTTTTCCACTTGTTCCGCCCACAATTTAGGGGGAGGGTATCACAGCGAAGAGCTTTGACCACACCCCCGTAATACAAGAGGCTTGGGTGACGGCGGCGTAACCTGCCCATCAACAACTCTTCTTTTACTCAGGGGCCAAGGTCAATACTCACCCACCTGAATGTGATCTCTGTAAAACTGGGGTTTTTACATTATCACGGGAAAGGAGTGTGATGGCAAGCGACTAGTATTCATATCTCCCTGCTCCAGGAAGGAGCAACTCTGCCTGGTTCTATTCATATGTCCCTGCTTCAGGAAGGAACCGGGTCCCCCGACACCTACAGACAATGGCGTAAATCACTGTCTCACTCTCGCCCCCCTTTCGCCTCTTGCATATCTATCGGTCTGTATGTGTGCATTTTCTACATCCTGCTTCTCGTCACACCCTTGTGTCTTTCGCGTCTGCATCTGTATGACCTGCATTTTCTACCATTGTCTGTCTGTTCGCACCTACATCCCCAGGCGCCTCCTCACCGGTGGCCCCCCTCCCATTCTGTTGTGGGCGGGACTGTCTTTCGTGTGTGTCTGTATACAGGAAACTCGGAGCTCTGCTTCAGAGCTGAGCATGCTGCCTTTGTGTGCATATGCTGACTCTCCGCACTGTGCGTGAACAATAAACTTACGCTTTTGACCAGACAAAGGACCTTTGAGTTTCCTCCTTCATGGGGTATATAATTCTATAACAGTGTCCACCTGAGGAATTGTGTGTGTGTCCACCTGAGAACTTGTGTGTGTGTGTGTGTGTCCACCTGAGGACTCGTGGAACTTGTGTGTGTGTGTGTGTGTCCACCTGAGGACTCGTGTGTGTGTCCACCTGAGGACTTGTATGTGTGTGTGTGTGTGTGTGTGTGTGTGTCCAGCTGAGGACTCATGTGTGTGTCTACCTGAGCACTTGTGTGTGTGTGTGTGTGTCCACCTGAGGACTTGTGTTTGTGTGTGTGTGTGTCCACCTGAGGACTTGTTTGTTTGTCCACCAGAGGACTTGTATGTGTGTGTGTGTGTGTCCACCTGAGGACCTGTGTTCTTGTGTGTGTGTCCACCTGAGGACTTGTGTGTTTGTCCACCAGAGGACATGTGTGTGTGTCCACCTGAGGACTTGTGTTTGCATCTCCCTCTGGTAATGTAACTTTTGTTCCTGACAAATGTGAGAAGCGGCAAGATGTCCCACAGAGCAGCTAGGTGTTTTGGACCAGGTGTGAATCCTTTGCACCAGGTTTGGATGCACGCTGGTCTCTCATACCTTGGCTTTGTTGATGGTGCAGTGCAGTGCGTTGTTCTCCTGGTCGTACATCAGGCTGAACTCCAGCGTCCCCAGAGTGGCTGTAAAAGACACACACACACACACACAAGGGTTAGGGCATAGTAGATACACTCACACATGCACACACACACACACACAAGGGTTAGGCAGTGTTGGGCACATTTCTTTGAAAAAGTAATTACTTTTAGTTACTAGTTACTCAACTACAAAAGGAACTAGCTACCAGTAAAAGTAACTATTGTGTTACTTTTTTGTTTGCTGTGGTTCCGAGCTTTAGCTGGTTGTAATTTAGAATAACTTCTAAGAAGATTAATTGTTGTAACAACGCCACCCTATTTTAGTATTAGTAATATATGTTAGTTTAGGGAACTGTCCTGCAAAGCACACAGGTAAGTAATAATAAGACAGGCCAAGGTTCCTTTTAAATTACATTGCATTTATTTTTATACATTGATCAAACAAAACACATTATAAAACTTGCAATTCAAAGGGACTATTTAAAATAATTAGTTCCCACGTACACACACGACCCCTCCGTTCAGCAGCCCTCGCACCTGATAGACCAGAACCAGGGAAAATGCAGTGCGCAGAGTGCACTGAGCGGCTGGAGCATCTACAGCCGCTGGAATAATGTGAACGGAGCAATAGAGGAGGTGGGGAGCAGAATAGATTATTAGAGGGTAGTAGCAGCAGATAAAGGACAATAAGTCCGCAACTAGGTGGAAAAGGGGGCAAAGCAGAGCACGGGCCCCAGACACGGACACCAGCTGCTAATCCCGCAGCAACGCTGTTGCCCCAAATGAATGGGCACAGCAACGCCCAACAATGCCCAACATAGACAGGGCTAATCACAACACGGGGGACATGAGGTAGCACGCTTTGGCGTGCAACACACAATCAAGCCGTGTATAATAAGTGGTGTGGGGCGGCGGCCCTGTAGCAGCGCTGGGACTGGAGAGAGGAGCAAACTCACGAGGCCCAGCAGGGCATGTGGGCAAACTGTTCATTGTGCGACTTGAGTAACATGCAGTAACGGGGTGTCGGCGATTATAACGGCATCATAGTTACAGTCAAAGTAATTAGTTAGATTACTCGTGACTGAAAAAAGTAATGGCGTTAGTAACGCCATTCATTTCAACGCCGTTATTCCCCTCACTGGGGTTAGGGTATAGTAAACATACACACACCGCACAAATGAGTATCGAGATGCCCAGCTGAGGCCAAAGCCAAGTCGCCACAAGCACACACACAGTCCCCACAAACACACACTGTCTCCAGAAACACACACATTTATCTCCACAAACACCCATAATTTTTTGTCTTTTTAATGTTACTGCACATTGTCGTTGACAAATTAAACTTAAACACAAACACATACACACTTTCCCCACAAACACACATTGTCCTCAAAAACACTGTCCCCACAAACTGCCCCTACAAACACATACATTGTCCCCACAAACTGTCCCCACAAACACACACAGTCAAACAAGGCATAAATATCACAAATAATCACAGTGCATTTGTAACTATTTTAACCTGGATTTGAACTCCGTAGACCCCTGTCCCAACATTTAAGGAAGACTGTTCCAGATTTTAGCTGCATGAATCTGAAATGCTATCAGGAGGTGTAGAGCAGAGGGGGGCTGGGGGTGTTGAGGAGGTGAGGAGCAGAGGTAGGAGGTGTGGAGCAGAGGTAGGAGGTGAGGAGCAGAGGGCGGAGGTGAGGAGCAGAGGTAGGAGGTGTGGAAGAGAGGGAGGTGTGGAGCATAGGGGGGAGGTGTGGATAAGAAGGAGGAGGTCTGGAGCAGAGGGAGGAGGTGTAGAGCAGAGGGTGGAGCAGAGGGAGGAGGGTTGGAGCAGAGGGAGGAGGTGTGGATGAGAGGGAGGAGGTCTGGAGTAGAGGGAGGAGGTTTGGAGATGTGGAGGAGGTGTGGAGCAGAGGGAGGAGGTATAACTGCTGCTGCAGGAGAACAGAGACAGAGGAGAACATTCAGACACAGTGAGTGCACTCTCTCTCCTCCTATTGCTTCACTTTGTTTAACTCGCCCCAGAACAGCATGACGTTCTGATTGTGTGATTGTGTGTTTTCTTACAAACTGATGTATGGACAGAGGCAGGTCGTCATGGCAACATCATGAGCATTTATTCATACAAGTGGATACAGCGAGATCACAACAGCGTAGAAACTCCAGACACACACACACATACACACACTCTCACACACACACACACACAGACACACACACAGGCAAACACATACATGCACATATATACATACACAAGCAAATACACAAACAAACACACACACACACATCCACATATTGTGTAATGCTTGTTTTCCTTAAACCCATTTTTCAATTGATCCAATTCAGAAGTCGCCTCGACAAGTATCAATCAATCAATCAAAGTTTATTTGTAGAGCGCCTTTCATACACATGGCAACACAAAGCGCTTCACAGTCCACATCACAAATCATCACATAAAACAAACACCAGAATCACAATTAAAACATTAAAATCACACAAAAGATTAAAACACAATTAAAACATTAAAATCACACAAAAGAATAAAACCATTAAAACTTTCAAAATTACACAAGAAATTTAAAAAAATAAATAAATGACAGCAGTGCATTAAAAATGGAGATAAAATCCTTCAGTTGTATGCACAGGCAAACAGAACAGTCTTTAACCTGGATTTGAACATTGACAGAGTAGACGCCTCCCTCACATTTTCAGGGAGATTGTTCCAGATCTTAGCTGCATGGATCTGAAACGCAGCCTCCCCATGTCTGGTTCTCACTCTGGGCACCAGCAGGAGGCCAGTCCCTGTGCTCCTCAGAGTCCGGGCTGGTTCATATGACACCAACATGTCACTAATGTATTCTGGTGCAAGGCCATGGAGAGACTTGTACACAAGCAGAGCCGTTTTAAAATCTATTCTTTGAGCCACAGGAAGCCAGTGCAGAGACCTGAGGACCGGACTAATATGGTCATACTTCCTGGTTCCTGTCAGGACTCTAGCTGCTGCATTTTGGATGTACTGCAGCTGCTTACAGGTCTGTTTGGACAGACCTGTAAGCAGGCCATTGCTAGTAGTCTAGCCTGCTGGAGACAAATGCATGGACAAGAATCTCCAAGTCTGCCCTGGACACTATATTTCTAACTTTGGCAATGTTCTTCAGATGGTAAAAAGCTGTTGATGTTATTGATTTTATGTGGCTATTGAAATTTAGGTCTGAGTCCAGTATTACCCCCAAATTTCTGACCTTGTCTGAAGGAAGTAGGGAGAGAGACTGAAGTTGACAAATGACGCCCTCTCTTTGTTTCTGGGGACCAAAGACAATGATTTCGGTTTTGTCTGTGAAGCACTCACAGCATTACTGCCTTTTCTATTTCCTTGGTTTACTGTAGGCGTATTCCCAGTCCACCTTCTAATTCCCGCGCGTGAAGGACAGCCGAGCTCTGCGGACTTTCTTGCCCTGTTAAAGGAAAACTAACAAAACTGGGGTTACATCTGTGCTGACTGGTGGCCTCAAGTCTGGGCTGCTGAACAGGCAATACTTTCCCTTTTAAGAGAGCGTAATAATATAGTACACAGGTCTTGCATCATAAATTGGCCAAAAGCTTACCAGTCTGACTTGGTTTTTGTGTCATGAATTCACCTTTTCCTTGGTGAAGAAATTTACCAGCAGATCAGATTTTTAGGCACATTTTTTCCCATCTATATTTACAATATGCATATGGTCACAATACATCATGCGTTAGACATTCTTTTCAGCTCCCTCTTTTCCAATCCTAACACCTGGAGTCAGCCAACAGTGTCCTACTAAAAAAACAGGTCGTCAATTTCATGCTGATTATATATTCGGTGATAATGCGTCACGTATTTAATCCTGTTCTGAGCAGTGACGCTGTGGAGCTTGAGGTGTTTAATAAAAGCGCGGCAGGGCACGGCTGATCTTTGCCTGGGATGGTCCGGAGGAGAGAGGAGGGACAGCGGCCACCTGCCAGTGGGTGCGCTACATTTATCTGAGCCACGAGAGACAGAGTCAGGGCCTCCATCTGACCAATCAAACGGCTCCAACAGCTGGGCTGCGTGCCCTGCCCAGCATCTCTGCATCCATCTCCTGTCTGTGTATCGCGAATCCCCCCCCCCCACCACACCACACACTCCTCTGACCCACAGCCACAATATTTATGCTCCTCTCGTTCTGGATTCATTAGTCCAGGTTAAAATAGCAATCACAGCACCACACACACACAAAGGTAACTTTTCTTGTTTACATTGTTGTTTAAAAGGTCAAGGTTGAATCCTGGTCAGAAACAGGGCCTCTCTAAGTGGGTGGAGTTTGCAGGTTCTTCTCGTGTCTGTCTGAGTTTCCTCCAGTGCTCAGTATCTCCTCCACACTTGGTCCGAACATTGTAAAGCATTTGTTGAACCTTGGTCTGTAAAAATGTATTATAAAAAGAACTATTCCTTACGCATAATTTGCGAAATTACAGTACATATATATTGACTTCACGGGGTAGTGACAGTGTAGTAATTAATACAACATTACGGGTGAATTCACATGGTCAAGCAATATAATTATAAAACTCATAACCAGTGTATTCCTTTGCTTTTATAACACTTAGTTGGACATATTGTTGAAAATTGGCCCATTATTGATGAAACAATCTTATTACCTTATATTTCCATAAAACCTCAAAGTTATAAATGCAGTACAGGAAAAGAATATTAAGGTTTGATCAGTGTTGATCCCCTCAAATACAACCGGTATCGTTTTATCAAAATGAGCCTGATGGACCGTAAGCTATAGCTGTGTATAACATGTAACTTGTCTGTAAGTATATACAGTATAATAAATTGTCCCACTCACCTTTGGCCCTCCGCGGGAGCGGGGTTTTATCCTCTCTAAGCTCGGGTCCTCTACCAGAGGCAGGGAGTTGAGGGTTCTCGCGCAGTATCTTTGCTGTCCTAGCTTGCACATTCTGGACCGAGATGTCCGAGGTTGTTCCGGGGATCCGCTGTAACCACTCATCTAGCTTCGGGGTCACTGCCCCGAGTTGCACCGATCAACACGGGCATACTGTCACCTTTTACCCCCGGCCCTCTCCAGCTCTCTCTGAGGACCTTGGTATTTCTCAAGCTTTTTCTGTTCTTTTTTCCGGATGTTCCCATCGCTTGGAAATGCCACGTCCACACCCACGGCTGTCCTCTGCCCTTTTGTCTCCACACGATGTCAGGTTGGTTTGCCATTACCATTCGGTCGGTCTGTATCTGGAAGTCCCACAGGATCTTCGCACGCTCATTCTCCACACCTTTGGAGGAGTTTCCCATTAGACCTGGGTTTCCAGCCCATACTTCCACAGATGTTTCTGTACACTAGCCAGCCACTTGGTTATGGCGTTCCATGTAGGCCTTCCTGCCAGCATCTGCCACCCTGCAGTTATGTGTTTGATCGTCTCAGGTGCCTCTTGCACAAACCGACACCTTGGGTCTTGTCTGGTGTGGTATATCTGGGCCTCTATCGCTTCTGTGCTCAGTGCCTGTTCCTGTGCAGCCATGATGCGTGCCTCTGTGCTGTCCTGTGGCCAGCCCTTTTAGCCTTTAGTAGGATTCTTGAGATCAGCATTTCTGTTATGTCCGGTGGTACAGGCGTGTAGGGGCTTGTTCTCCCATGATGGTGCTCTCCTCCGCACCTCCTCATCTCGCCGCTGGCTGGGAGGACATTCATTGAGGTACGTCATCCGTTTTGGCCCTTCTCCATGATGTAGTTAGGGAGTTTGGATGTTTCGTCCTGGGACAGTGGCTTCACACTCACTAGTCCTCGGCCTCCTTCTTTACGGCTTACGTACAGTTCGCAGAGTGCTGGATTTGGGAAGGAACCGCCATGATGGTAGGAGCTTTCGGTTTTAACATCCGTGGTCTGAATCTCTTCTTTGGCCCTGATTATTCCTGCAGGGTAATCTGATCACTGGACAGGGCGTAGCTGTTAATTGCCCGTGCCTTGTTTCTTTGCCATTGAGCCGCTTCTTAGGACCTGCCTTACTCGCTGGAGGTATTGGCAGTTGCCGCTTTCCTCCAGCTGCAATATATAGTATATATTTTCTCCTATATATATATATATAGGAGGAATATATATCTATATTTTGCGCTGGAGGAAAGCGGCAACTGCCAAATACCTCCAAGCGAGTAGTAGGCAGGTCCTAAGAAGCCGGCTCAATGCAAGGAACAAGGCGCCGGGCAATTAACAGCTAGCCCTGCCAGTGATCAGATACCTGCAGGAATAATCAGGTGGCCCCAAGGAAGAGGATTCAGACTGACGGATGTTAAAACTCGCAAGCTCCTTACCATGCATGGAGGGTTCCATCCCAAATCCAGCACCCTGGAGGACTGTACGTAAGCGTAAAGAAGGAGGCGAGACTAAGTGAGTGGTGAGAGCCACTGTTCAGGACGATTACATCCATAAACTCCATAACTACATCTGGAGCAGGCCAAACGGATGACGTACTCAGTGAATGTTAGGCAGCGGCGAGATGAGGAGGTGCTGGAGGAGAGCCCATCTTGGAGAACAAGCCCCTACACTGGGCATTGTACAACCGGGCATAACGAAGTGGCTGATCTCAAGAAGTCCTCCCTAATGGCTAGAAAGGGCTGGCCTTACTGGGCAGCACAGAGGACACTCATCATGGCTGCACAGGAACAGGCATCTGAGCACCAGAGCGTGAGGCCCAGATATTACCACACCAGACAAGGACCAAGGTGCGGTTGTTCAAAGAGGCACCTGAGACGATCAACACTAACTGCAGGGTGCAAGATGCTGGCAGGGAAGGGCCTACATGGAAGCCGATAAACCAAGTGGGCTGGCATAGGTTTACAGAACATCTGTGGTGAGTATGGCTGGAAACCCCAAGGTCTAAGTGGGGAAAACTCCTCAAAGTGGTGGAGAAATGACGCGTGCGAAGATCTGTGGCTTCCAGATACAGACGAGCCGAATGTAATGGCAAACCAACCTGCATGTGGTGGTAGACAAAGGGCAGGGACAGCCGTGGTGGTGGACGTGTGGCAATTCCAGCGACGATGGTAACCAATCCGGAAAAAAGAACATGAAAAGCTTGAGAAAATACCAAGTTCTCAGAGAGGCGCTGGAGTGGGGCCTAGAGGGTAAAGGTGGACAGTAGTGCCCGTGGTGATCGGTGCCAAGGGGCAGTTGACCCGTAGGCTAGATGAGCGTGGTTACAGCGGATCCCGGAACACCTCGGACATCTCGGTCCAGAAATGTGCAGTGCTAGGAACACAAAGATTACTGCCGCAGAACCTTCAAGCTCCCTGGCCTCTGGTAGAGGACCCGAGCTTAGAGAGGGATAACCGCCGCGAGAGGGCCAAAGGTTGGAGGGACAATTTTTATTACTGTATATACTTACAGACAAAGTTACATGTTATATCAGTCTATAGCTTTACGGGTCATCAGGCTCATTTTGATAAAAAACGTATACATGTTGTCATTTGAGGGGATCATCAATCTGATCACCTTAATTATTCTTTTCCTGTACTGCATTTTATACCTTTGATGGTTTTATGGAAATATAGGTATCAGATTGTTCATCAATAATGGGCCAATTATCAAACACTATGTCTACTAAGGTTTATAAAAGCAAAGGATACATCTGGTTATGAGTTTTAGATTATATTGTTTGACATTGTGAGGATTAACCCGTTAATGTGTGTATTAATAACTACACTGTCACTACCTTGAAGTCGATATAAATGTAGGCTTGTAATTTCTCAATGTAGTGGAGTAAGGAATATTTCTTTTTATAAGACTATTTTTTACAGACCAGGTCAACAAAGCTGCTTTACATGTTCTTGTTTTTTGGACCAAAGTGTGGTAGGAGAAACTGCTAGCACCTGGAGGAACTCAGAACAGACGACGAGAAGAACCTGCAAAACTCCACCACTTAGAGAGGCCCTGTTCTGACCAGGATTCAAACCTTGGACCTTTTAAACAACAATGTAAACAAGAAAAGGTTACCTTGTGTGTTGATTGTGTGTGTGTGCTGTGATTGCTATTTAACCTGGACTAATGAATCCAGAACGAGAAGCAGTAAATATTGGGCTGTGGGGGTCAGGAGGTGTCGTGTGTGGTGGTGGGGGGTGGTCCTGTTCGCGATACACAGGACCGGAGATGATGCAGAGATGGTGGGCGGGGCACGCAGCCAGCTGTTGGAGCCGTTTGATTGCGTCTGTGGCGGCCTGGCTCTGTCTCCTCGTGGCTCAGATAAAGTGTAGCGCTCCCACTGGCAGGTGGCCGCTTGTCCCTCCTCTCTCCTCCGGACAATACCAGGCAAAGATCAGCCGTAGCCCGCTTTTTCGCTTTTATTAAACACCTCAATGCTCCACAGCGTCATGCTCAGAAAGTGGATGTTGAAATACGGACGCTTTATCATCCGAATAATAATCAGCATGGAATTGACGATGTTTTTTAGTCGGACACAGTTTGGCTGACTCCAGGTGTTAGGATGAGTAAAAGAGGGAGCTGAAAGGAAGTCTAGCATGATGAGTATTGGACATGCATATTGTTAAATATAGATGGGATAAATGTTGCTAAAAATCTGGATTGGCTTGGTAAATTTTCACAAGGGGAAAAGGTGAATTCATGACACCAAAACCAAGTTGGATTACTGGTAAGTTTTGGCTTTATGATGAGCAAGCCATGTGTACTGTATTATTAGCTCTCTTAAAGGGAAAGTATTGCCTGTTCAGCAAGCCCAGACTGATGCACCCAGTCAGCACAGCTGTACCTGTTATGTTAGTTTTCCTCTTAACAGGGCATGAAAAGTCCGCAGAGCTCGGCTGTCCTTCACGCGCTGGATTTAAGAGGTGGACGGATAAGCCTACAGTAAACCAAGGAATAGATAATGCTGTAAGATGCTGTGATGTGCTTCTCCCCGAGCGCTTGACCGCCATGGTCCGGTGACCGATGGTTGTATGTTTGTGACAATCGGGCAGCTGTTAGCGCGCCTCACCGCGGTTTGCTGTTTCCATCGTTAATCACCATCAGTATCTTCCTTGCAGTGGACAGGAGCTCATGTTTGCTCGGTACAGGAGCCAGATGAACTCATTTCACACATTTTCTCACAGTTTCAGTTGTATCTTTGTGGCTTGCTTCTCCAGAGGGGTGTAATTCAATTCTCCGCAAAACACTTTTGGGGCGGTT